AAGAAATTTTAAAAACTTTTATCCCTCAAATTAACAACCGTAACACAGCGGGAGACTCTAGGCGCTAGCTAGTCCGGGCTATCGGACACCCGCACACATGACTTGTGAACACCGTACAAGTCACGCTGTACACCACAAACCAAGCAATGTATTTTCGACACACACCGCGCCGCCGAAACCCGCCAACCTTTCGTAAGTGACGGCGTGGCCGTTGGAATGTAAGCGCGAGGCCCGGCCCTCCCGTCAATCGTTCCAACACGAGTGGCTATCCCCACTGTGCTCCACGGGTGAACCTCCTCAACCGATACCACTTGGCTCGTTACGTCTCGTCGCGATGTCCTGTGGCGTGGTCTTGGCTCTTGTTTTCGTTCATCGATTTACACGGAATGTGGGGGGTCGTTTCTATGCGCACTGTCCTCTACTACCATGGGGAAACTCGTATAGGATACCGTAGGCCTTAAATAGCTCCGTGTTCTCCAAATATACTATCGTAGGTAATTACCTCACAATTTTTTCTCCTCGTCACCCTTGGCGGTGCGTAGGTTTACCCCTCCTATTAAGTCCTTCTGTTTATAAGGTCCGATCTTGCAACGGAATTCATCACAACGTTTTCCGAACGGAGATTTCGTCGCGAAACCTTCTGATTCGCAACAACGACTCTTTTTCGACGGAGCACTTTCGCCGCCAGCCCCGCCTTCCTTTTGTAAGTCGTGTTGTTTTGACTAAAGTCGTAATGTATTCTATCCTTCGTACAAACAAACACTTATTTTGCTGCAGGTACCACCCAGAACAACCAGTGAGTAGATTACAGTGCAAACGGGGCCTTTCCGCTATCTAGGTCATGGCACTTTCAGGACACGAACGAATCGTCTCCCGACGCGCCAGAGAACGAAGAAGCGATGCGGCTCAGGCGAACCCGGAGAAAGAGAGAGTCCAGCTCTCCCGCGGCCGCGGAGGTAGCGGCACGCGTGCTGCAGCCTTACCGAGGGGGCGAGCAAGTCGCAGGACCCGTTCTGGAGGCCACGGTGTGCTTTCTCGCAGCGTGGGTCGGGCGCCGTCCGGAGGCCTTTCAATGCCTTCGCGTCGCCGGATTTCCGACACACCCCACTCAATATCTCAGCTGCTGACCAACCTCCCCAGCTCTGCACTCATGCTGGAAGGGCTAGAATACCCCCCCGCTGGGTTCAGGTATCATCAGCCCCCTCACTGGCAGGCTCAAGGTCAAAAACTGGGGCACAAACGACCATTTTCATCTCCCCTCTCTCCAGCACCTCACAACTGAGCTCAACAGTCTCATATCCTCTCCAGTCGCTCATCAACTGCATATACCTCGTCCGATGCGAACTCGGCCAATCCATTGGTCCCACCTCAGCCCCTCCCTCGCTACAACATCACACGTTCGCTCGTTGCCTCTCGCACAAGGCACTCCATGTTTTAGGATCTTCGCAGCGGACTCACCCTCCCCCACTGACTTGACGCAGCTGTCCCGCTGACAGACGCCAGCCCGCACCGGCTCCCCGAACGTCGCCTGCAGAGCAGAGATCTGGAGGCAGTCGTTGTTCAATCAAGCAGAGCCTCTACACGCAGCGTGCGCCTCCCAGGCCGTCCGGACATGAGCCCATGCGCCAGTGCACACCACAGTCAAGAGAGTGATTCAACTCCACCACGAGAGCTGGAACACTCCACGAGAAGACGATATTTCTTTTCGTCTCCACGACGATATGCGACGACTCCCTCGAACATCGACTGCTCTTCGCGTAGCGAGAAGGCGAGTCCGACTCCAAAGCAGGAGACTGGACAGAGACACCTCGCAGGTAGGTCACCGTTGCGGAACTTATGCTTACTCAAAGTGCAGATGAGTATCTCTGTAGTGATTAGAGACAGACTCCCTGAGGGTCTGTCGTTTTAACACACTCTCTCTCAACCTTCTCGCTCTTTCATCTCTTTTCTCTCTCTTGTTTGTGGCATATCGGTCACACTACAGCTATCTCTTCGTTGAAGAGCCCCACAATAACTCTGCTCAATGTACTGCTGCGAACCCATGTCAGACTTGAACGATCTGGTCTCTGCCACGCTCCGACGCGCCGACCGACATATACCGGTATATATAATCCACGAGCATGCCGGTACCACTGTTCCGTGTCATAGCATGAACAACCGATGTATGTCTGATGACGGGCACTCGTGCGACTGAGCCAGCAGTACCAACCGATCACATAGCAACAGGCATCATTCGCAGGAGCGAATAGTAATCGATTACCCGCTTAATGGTTACGAAATTAACATTACTACTTGACTGTGTTGCCAACCTCGATGTAATGCTCCATCAATTTCCCTCGTGTATTACAAGCATGACGAGTGTAGATGAATTTCAGACCCTTAGGTGCAATTATGCTATGAAATCTGGGTCAATCCTGCTATATACTATAGGCGTAATCACACTCCCTCACAAGAATGAATTTGTGCTTCTGACACCTGATACTGGATTGTTATATGTGCTGCGTTCACCCTCGGCACGCAAACATGCCAGAGCTATTCCCCATCAGCTCACCAGCAGTGCTGATAATGCAATGAACATTGTACGGCCCCTAACACCAGCTATATACTACCGTAGGAAGCTTATAAGACTCAAGCGCTTCAAAAATTCATTTGAAGTGACTTACAATGATAGCTGTGCGTGTTTTCTCGGCTTACAAAAGGGATCCGAACAGTCAGTCATGCGGTAAATTGCCGCAGCAGTCATCTGTTGGGCTCCTATCCATGCTCCCACTTCCCCCCCTGCTGCATGTCTGAAGCAACACTACCCCATTGGGAGTATCCTCCCTCTCTCCCTGCATAGCTGAGATGTACAAACAGTACGCGACGGGTCTACACGATACGATGATTATTTGTGTTGGATTAATGCGAACGTACGTCAGACACGCGGCTAGGTCGGGTGATTGGGTGAAATGGGAGTATTTGAGCCGAGCTTTCTGACGAAGAGGTATCTGTCTCTGGAATAAACCTTATATCGTGTCGTTACTCTATCCTCCAGCGTCTCTAACCGTGAGAGAGAAATTGCAAAGTTGTAGGAATAACCAGACCATTAGTATTGTTGCCAGCACACGTTTGAAAATGAGCACGAGCTTGATCTCCGCCAAATCTGCCTGAGCTAAACAGCCCCCAAATCTCATACTGTACCCACACCACACACACACACCCACACACGCACCACACACACCCACACAATGCACCACGATAGTTAATGTGTTAATGTTCCTGCCGTGTAGGGACGCAGAAGAGTTTGTCTGCCAGTGGGCCAGCTGCGTGAGAGCAAAAGCCGTTCAAAGCACAGTACATGCTCCTGGTTCACATGAGAAGACACACGGGAGAGAAGCCACATAGATCACCGTGAGTATTCTCCTTGTGACCTGGGATTAATTATTATAAGCAGGGTGTGATCGGATTTATTGGACTACATGTATGTAGTTGCCGCTAATGATTAGCCTGAGATCATAATCTAATAAAAATATGCTCGAAATTCAGTGCCTGACTAGACGTAACAAGACGTGAATTTCAACACTTCTCCATAACTTGCGTTCCGATGACAGCATCATTATGGATCTTTCACCCCTCCCTCTTCTCTCTCTCTCTCTCTCTCTCTTTCCTCTCTCTCTCTCTCTCTCTTCCTATCTCTCAGTACGACGGATGCGACAAGGCATACTCCAGACTGGAAAACCTTAAGACTCACCTCCGCTCGCACACTGGCGAACGTCCGTATCTCTGCAAGTATGAAGGTTGTGGGAAAGCCTTCTCAAACGCCTCAGACTGCGCCAAACACATGAACAGAACTCACTCATCCGAGGTAAGCTTGAGTACTGAATGAGAGTATTGCAGCAATGGGCTTTATACGCACAAAGCAGTGTGCCATCTAATGAAATATGGACTCCAATTGGAGGGTAGAGAGATGTCCTTATTTCAGGGGTTAAATTGCATGCAAGAACTGTCCTTTGGGGGAATAAAACGTGTCCTTATTAGAGAGGTGTCCTCATTTCAGGGGGTGTCCTTAGATGTGGGAAACAAACTGTGATGCAATTGATTGACAACAATTCCTCTTGTGGTGGAAACGGCACGCCTCATTATGCACACTATAGCACAACGGGTCGATCCAGTAGAGTGGACCGTCATACAAGTCATTGGTTCCGTGATCATCCACTGGCGCCACTCCGCTAATGGCCTCGTACAGGCTGATGCCATTTCCAAGGCAACGTGGCAGCTGGAATTTCTCTCCAATTGTATATAGTAAAGCGTGACAGGACTGGAAATCGAGAACCTTTAAATATGGACGTTCTCACTCTATCGATGGATGTGAAACATGAGCATTAATTGAGGTGTTTACTGCCCCGAACGTGGAAAGAGTTCCTCCTAATTTCACGGAATAGAATGATCGCAGAGGCTGTTTGTTCGCGGCGTAGGCGGAGCCCCGGAAATATGATAGCTATGTTAATACGACTGAAACTCCCACTCTGATTGGTCGGCGCCTAGCAACCCGGTATTGGATTACGGTACAGCAGCTGGACTGTGTTTCTCCCACGATAGGTGTAGTTAGTGACCCAAAGAGAAAGTATAGGCACGCCTCCAGTGAACATGTCACCTGTGCTAAAAATAACCACGTGCGCTATAATTAGAAACCTGCGTTACAACGCAGTGTCCCGGACAAGTTTGTGTTTGGGTAGATGGTGCGACTGGTTTCGGACGAATGTCTTTCAAACAGTCATGTGATAGGTCACATGATACGTCACACTAGACAGTGATGGCAGCCATGTAGAGTTACATTAGGGCAGACGTTGTGACAAGCAAGGTCTGGGGAAATATCTGGTGTTTCAAGTGAATAACTGGATACTACAACATCACCTCTCCCCCTTCTCCCCTTTCTCCTCCCTCTTCCTCTTCCCCTCTCACTTCAGAAACCCTATGCCTGTCTTAATCCTGGCTGCACGAAGCGGTACACGGACCCAAGCTCAAGAAGAAAGCACATGAAGAACTGTCAAGTCAATAAAAAGGTATATACAGTGAAACCTCCAAATAAGGGACACATTGGGGACATTTGAAATACTATATACGTGCTAAAGAGAGAGAGAGGGAGAAGAACATGATATGTTTGCTCTTCAAGTACTTGTTAATAACACCATCTAATGTTTCGTCACAGGCGCGTGTTGATCAAGATGGCGATTCAGCCTCCGTACACGAAGACGACACTTCTTTCGAAACTGCTTCGAAAATCTCGTCTGCGTCGACGGCGAGCGGGCGAACCGCCAAGCCAAAGAAGCCAGAAAAGAACAAGATGCCGCCAGTCACAAAGAAGGGGTTAAAAGGGGAATCGAGAGGCGGAGGTGATCCAGGATACATGTCTGGCGGGTCGCAGGGAGGACAGCATTCACCGTTGAAGGGGTACGGATCTCCACCCGCACCTCACGACGCGGAACACGGACAGGGAGGAGGGGCGGGAGGGTGGAAACAAGAAGACGAACTCACCAACATTCTCCGACACCAGACGCTCAGCGATCCGAACGATCCGACGAGTCCCATGGCGATGACCTTCTCCCCGCACGGAGGGGGCAGTGGGTACCGGGGACACCCTGACGGAACAATTCCGATGGACCAGGGTACCTCTCACATGTCAACAACCACAGCCCACCCAAACGGGAAGGCCAGCCAGCAAAGAGGAGGAGGCTTGGCAATGCTGGCTGGCCGAACCCCCGGGAACCTGCAAGGCCCACTGCCAGCCAAGACGTTTCACCATCACCCGAGCCAGGGGCCCGCGCACCATCATCATCCCCCTCACCACCACACCACGCACACGCTCCAGCAGCCCCCTCCTTCCTACCACCAGCCCCTGCTCTATTCCCCTTCGCGACAGGCCAGCCACTACCAAACTTCTTTCCTCACGCCTTCCTACCCATCTTACCCTTCGGGCTACTCCAGTTTGCCGGCGGAATCGCGTCAGCCCCAACCCCCATCATCTGTGCCCTATACCCAGCACCTACAGCTGCAGCAACAGGGCCCCCACCACCATCTTCGAGAAAACGAAAACACTCTTCTGACTAGCCACGTTCAGGTGCCCCCCGGAGGAAATCTACCAACCCCCTCGTCAAGCGGTTATTCCAGCTGCGGGTCCCCAAAGGGGGTCCACCACCCGAAATCCCCCAGCGACGACAGCTCAGTGGTGGGCGGAGCCAGTATCCATAGCAACCCCATGACAAATTCCTATTCCACGTTCTCATCAAACAGCAGTCGAGTATCGACCCCCAGTAACGGGAACCCCCAGTTCCTAGCTGCCAAAGCGAACCCCCGGGGTGGGGGGGCAGGGGGAGGGGACATGGGGAAAACTTACCCTCTCCAACAATCCTTCCGCATGCCGGGACGTGCTGCTTCCACAGACGACGCCTTGTCAGAGACATCAGGACGCTCGTGGGTCTACTCCTCGCAGAGTTCCCGCTACTCTGCCTTCTCCACCGGCAGCGAACTTAGCGACGAAGCCTTGGAGCGTCTACCCACCGATCGTCTCCGTCGACACAGCTTCACCAAAGGCCCTCCCCTTCCGCTCCCCGAGTCGATGCAGGAGCAGTTCGACCCAAAGATGAACAGGGCGATTCCGGGAATGACTGGAATGGAATGCAGTCCGCCGCACGGGAACGGGACTGGAGTCCTATTGGGGGACACCTTCCCACACCCGCAGAGCCCCGTCTCCATGCAGCTGGATTTCCACGGCGACAAAACGATGCGGCTCTATCACCTCCCGCCCGAATCGGCAGCTCTCTTCGCTGCAAATGATGCCCACCTCCCCTACTACTCACATTCGCAGTGTGCGACAGATGCTTTCGATTTCCAGATGAGCTACAACGAAGGTGGCAACATACCTACCGCAGTGTTCGGGGACATGGGCACCCCGTTTGCAAACGCCCTCCAAAACGATCCTCAATACTTCGACACGTTTCTAAACTCACAAGCGAACTAAATCGAGAATTTCTTTAACCGTTACTAATTCGTTGTGTTTACAAGCCCTCCAAAAGTCCCGGCGTCAATTTCACGTTTATCACTAATATTATATTTTTAACCCAAAATCCACTCTAGTTTTGTTCAAGTGTGATTATTTAGTCAACTTATAATTATATGTACCGATCGATTTCAATGTTTCTCAATTATGTGTGTTCTCTGAAAATGAATGTGTAAAAAGATCAACCATGATGATTTTTACAAAGCAACAATTGTGACGAGGTTTGAAAGTGAAAGTAGGTGTGGTGCACAAGTTAATAATTATTGCTGTTCAAACTTGACCTTCCATCCGACGACTTTGTTGTCGAAACCGGCCGAAAAGAGATTACATCGCTCAGTGCTCACATGACTGTCATGTGACCATGTCACACTGCATACCATGCGCCGGTGAGCCTGAAAAAAAAACCAGTCAAACAAAAAATTATGGCAAATGTAAAATTTTACCTGTCTCTGTCGGCGAGGGAGTTGTGCCAGTCTGGAGCCACTGAGGTCGTAGAGCTTCAGGTGTCGGTTGTCTAGGGGAACGGCCAGGATCGGACGGTTGCCGTGGGAGACGGAGATCCTGTTGATACCGCAGTCGAGACGAACAGAGTCGAGTGGCGACCTCATGTTCCTCAAATCCCAGATCTGAGGCCAGGAGAGAGGGTGATATATTTTGATTTCGTACAAGCTGCGACACGACTGAGGAAGGGCCGATTGAGAGATATACAAGAGTGCGATAATACAAAATAAGCGAGATCTGAACATTTATCACAGATGTTCCAAGAAGTAGTCGCCTAGCTTATCTTTACTTTGCACGGTGAATGCTATTCAGAAAGATGTATAATTATATGGAAATCTGTTACTTAGAATTCTGAGAACCAAAAGATAACCCCTCCCCCCAATCAAATATATAGTAGGAATGAACCTTTAATGAGTGGTCATCGGATGCGCTGACAATGTTGTCACGGAGACTGAATGCACACGAGTTGACCGCCTTCGAGTGACCCTGGAAAACGTTCACCGAGTGAATGGGTGGGGCCCTGAAGTCGCAGAGTCTAAAGGTCGTATCCACGGAGGAAGTGACGAGCAGCTGCTGGGTGGGGTGGGCGGAGACATGCGTCAGCTCCTGGTCATGTCCTGTGAGAAATGATGGAGATGGCACACCATCCACTAATATACAGTGAAACCTCTAAATAAGGGACACCTTTTAGACATCGAAAGGATCCTTTATTCAGAGGTACACTAATGTATTAGTATGGGGCAGAACCAAGTGTCCATATTGTGAGAGTCTTTTCGAAGGTTTCAATATAGTCGAAAGAATATTCAACTTCAAACACACACTTGAGCAAGCAATATTCGGCCTAAGTAATCATCCCAGGTAATGTAAAACACAACCATTTCAGGTGTGCTATCTTTTCATACACACAAAGGTGGTCTGGTTTCTTTAAAGGGACACTCTACATGTATGAATAAAGTACTACCTTCAAGAGAGCGGAAAAGTACTACCTTCAAGAGAGTGGAAAAGTACTACCTTCAAGAGAGTGGATGATCTGTCCCGATTCTATGTCCCACAGTTTGGCTGTGTGATCCCAGGACGCGGTGACCAGCTGGTGCCCGTCAGCCAACCAGTCGCATGCCATCACCGGAGCTCTGTGCTCAGTCAGCACTCGCACCGGCTGCTTCACCGTGGCAACGGGAGGCGTGTCGACCGTCGGGTCCTCATCCGACAGATTCCTCTCTTCACCAGACGAGTCGTGCTTCGTTGTCGATCTGGACAAAAAAAAATTAATTCCTCTTCTCTCCTTTTCTCACAGTATAACAAGTGTGCAAATTTTTTTCACACTATTTGTGTTGTTTGTCACCCATAATTGTTAACTTTATATTTATTTGGTCAAGAGTATCCCGCTAGCTAAACGTACCTCTTCCTCCTCCCCACACTCACCTGTCCATTGGGTTTCCACTACTGCTTCTCTGCCGTGCGTGCGTCCCCGAGGAATACTTCCAAATATGGGCACTGGAATCCCCGGCGACCGAACAGCAGAGGGTGTCTCTGGGGTGAAACGAGAGTCCGTTCACGGAGCCGGTGTGTCCGATGTATTTCAAGATAGCGTGCCCCGATTCAACGTCCCACATGAGTGCCACACCATCTGAAGGTGACAGTAACACACAGTCAGTAGTCAAAAAACATAGGATGAGAAGTGGAGTATTTAACAGAAAGAAGAGAGGAAATAAAGAGATAAGGAGAGAGAGAGACAGAGAGAGAGAGAGAGAGAGAGGGAGAGAGAGAGAGAGAGAGAGAGAGAGATGAGAGATGAGAGAGAGAGAGAGAGAGATGAGAGAGGAGGGGGGAAGGGCTCACCAGCTGAGGCAGCTCCCACGAGGGCCGGTCCACTGCGAGTGTGTGCCACGTCCCAGATTCCGTCCCTGTGACCCTGAAACACGCACACCTGCGTCATCTCAACTGACAGAGTCGATCGACTCTTGAAGTGATGTCGTGATGATGTAATGGAAGGAACGAGGAAGGGAAAGAGAGAGAACATAAAAAGAGCATTCTCTTGCTACGTCAGACACACCTTTTTTGATGGCGTATACGTCTTTAACCTCTGTGTTATTGTCTGGCCTCTTGCTGTACAGGTGCGGGCAAGGGGTTAATCGTACAGTCACAGAGGGGTTAAAATTACAGCTGATGCAATGCAGTATGTTTTCAAACAGGCATGGATGCTTGTTTCCTGTGACAAGTGATGTTTAAGTTTTGCAAATGGCAGATGTTGGCACATGGCGGAAATGTAATACACACATGCGCATATCAATGACCAGTATATGATGCATGTATATACAATTGCCATAGATATGCTCCAAAATAAGAAGGGTAATTGCTTGAAAGAAGCGTAATTAGGTCCCACAAACGATTACAAATTATCGCCTGTCACTCCCGCAAAACGTACTGTTGTTTTTTATCTTCATTATCTTCTGAGGGAGCGTCGTCTAGGGGCGTCTCCGTGGCGACCACATAGGAGGTGTTTGTCGAGTCGGCAGTGTTGTCGGCAGATCCGCGATCTCTCTCTGTTAGCAGCTCGAGCTTGTCTAATCTTTCTCTAACTGTGACGAGGGGAGGAGGGAGAGACGGAGGGAGGGAGGGAGAGAGGGGAGAGAGTGAGGGAGTGAGGGAAAGTCAACAACATCGCCCACCCCAGGTAATACATCAAAGGCCAGGAAATATGTTATCAAATTTTGCACCCATAGAACAGCAACCAGTTTGGTAACTCCAGAATTGCTCAAGTGATAGTATCATGTATCATTCTATAGTGTGGCCTGCAGACGGGAGGCTGTGGTTTTGGTTCTGAGTGAGTGGGTTACCAGCTGGTGGTGTAAAGAACTGAGTGGCCCTTCCAGAGACACAAACAATTGAAGTGAGTGGGTTACCAGCTGTTGGTGTAAACAACTGAGTGGCCCTTCCAGAGACACAAACAATTGAAGCCTGACTTGGAAACCATAACACAGGATTGAAAAACCTGCTAGAAAATGTATTTTCTGTGCCAATAGCTGACGTGATGTGGAGACGATGGCAAACAACACTGACCTCCCACAAAGGGGATAGCCATAAACGACAGTATACAGTACACTGCAATATTGTTTTCTGGCGACATAATGACGAAGACACCGATAATTATGCATGAAGAGTGCACGGCGCGCATAAGGATGTGTAATTTCAACGTTCCTCTATATAGGTAGCGTTCCCTACAGCTACAATACAACGCTAAAGAAGACAGCAAAAACGTGAGAATGCTCGTGCACACACAGCGCCCAACTTACGTGCGCCGTTGTCCGCATGAAGCTGCTCGAACTCTCGCTCGATGGCGCCGAACAGTTCCCACAGCCGCGACTTGGCGGGCTCCGGCAGGGATCCAGCTGCCACTCCGGATCCGGAGCCTGGCGACGGCCAGTTGGCCCCGGTTCCCCCGCCGCCCGCTCCCTTCTTCGAGTCTTTCTTCTTCTTGGACGACATTCGATCGATGACTGCTTGATCACTGCGCTTACTTATATATACGCGCATGCGCGTGGATACCCAGAGAGCTGCTTGCTGCGCATGCGCGTGGAGGCCGCTGGCTGCGCGCGCGTATACCTAGCTGCGCGCCGCCTGCGAATTCAGTGAAGTTTTTACTGCACATGCACAATAATAATGATAAAATAAACTGAAAAATATTGTTTGTTTCTATTAGGTCACAGCAATGCTGGGGTTTCCATAGAGAATGGCGGCATAACCGTTCAACCCCTCCAACTTGCAGACAGACCTTGCTCGTGCTAGAGCCAGGGACAGAGGCAACCTCTCTCCCTCCTCCTCCTCCTCCTCTTCCCCCCTCTCTCCTTCCTCCAGCCACTGCTCCAGGAGGCTCTTGGACAGTCTGTCGATGTCTCCGTCTGTCACGTCCCACAGGATGGCAACTAACGAGGGACTGAGAACACAGACCAAGGTTCGTGGATTCGAAAAAATCAAACACTATTTCACATAGTGCTAAATTCCATGGTGCATAATTCGAATGGAGGTGCACAGGCAGGACAAACTACTGTTTGGACCACTCACAGATAAAACATTGGAGTTCATAGCATAAATTTCAAGGTTTCCCTCATAATTTGACCTGCTAACTTTTTAACTTTACAGAATGAAGAGAAGAGCTCACCATCCTGCCAGAAGGTAGTTGAGAGCCATGCCGGCTGGATCGCAAGCTCCACCCACAACCAATCTCCCAGAGCCACACCCCATCAGCAGTGTGGTTGCCTGGCAACTGAGCAGCTGGAAGTGGTCGGTCGACAGAAACTCTCGCCCAGTTCCATGACCGCAGTAGCTGCACACGGAAAAGAAAGACTGCCACACAGAGTCCTTATTTTTTTGTAAATTTGGAAATCTAAATCTTCAGTATATAAGTTGGGTAGCTGAAAAACCTAAATTTTATGCCTGGGAATTAAATATATGGACCGGGGGAACCCTTCTCTACAGACACCCCTGATATAAGGACACCTCTCCTATTATCACAATTACTCCAGTTCTTATGGAACAACCCCTGAAATAAGGACACCTCACTAAATGGACACTTTCTTCTGTCCCAATGGTGTCGGATTAGAAGAGGTTCCACCGTGTCCATATCATGTGTAAATGTTGCTTACACAAAGACATCATGGTTCTGAAGTGCCTCCGAGAACTGGGCGGAGGAAGGGGCGTGGCCGACCACACCCGTCCACCTCAGCTCCTTCTGAAACCATCCGTGGAAACGTTTCTCGGTATCAGGTAGGTCGCCACGGGGATTCAGAACATAGTATCCCAGACGAGGGTCCAACTCCCACCTAATTCGGTATTCACATTAAGTTCATTACTTCATATAGCCCCGTATACACCCTTACGTCCTCTGAATAAGGGACACCATTCAGAGGTGTACGTACGTATGTATACAACACGATGTCTACGTTACGTATGGGACCGAACCACACTGTAGAGATGTGCCTATGTATTGGAGGTTTCATTGTCCATCTGTTCGTTCGTGACTTTAATGAAATGAAGTATGAACTATTTTCATCTGATTAATTACTAAGACTCCTCCTCTGCCTATGCACATACCTCTTCTGAGCTTCCTGAAGGAGCTGGTGGGCGACTGCGAAAGAGAGAGAAGGAACTCGTCCAACCGACTGGTCCTGCAAGACCGGCATGGCCTCCCACGGTAGGTGTTGGACCAAACGACCGACACACAGCAAGTGGTACCCAGTGGTCCCCCCAGGGGTGGGGGGTGGGGGACCGAAAATCTCAGCGTGGTTCCCCAACCATTCGGTCTCCAGCTCGCTCACAAAATCCTGACAATGAAACACACGATTACATCATCATGACATCACTACAAAATTACATCACATTACAAAAGATACATAATTACATCATCATGACATCACGACAAAATACACCATTACATCATGCCACGAAATTCACCTTCATCTGACGATTGAGTTTGCGACGAATGCTCCACCATTTTCTCTTCTCACTCAGTTTCATGCTGTCGTCTGATTCAGCCAGCATGGACGAAAACCGGGCGAGAAATGCTTGGCCCTCAATTAGCGACTTAACGAACAGGGGCTCTCTGTTTTTACCCACCACACACAATAAAAGGTGCTCTTTCTCACTCTAAAAATAGAGACAGACAGAGAGAAAAAATACTGCGAGTGGGGAAATTTTGAGGGTACATATGTTACTGAGAGGTAAGGGAGGGGGCAAGGGAGATAGTGGTGAACTGACATCCTTCAGGGAGAGAGGAGAAGAGGGAGATAGTGTGAGAGAGGGGACGGGGGGTCTGGGGCGGCTGCAGAACCCCACGTGCCAACAACAGGTCCTGTAATCTCAAGACACTCTGGGCCGTCTGTAGGTAACTCAGTATGTCCGTAAATGGGACGGGTTTGGAGCGTGGTGAGACTGATTGCGAATCTTTTCCCGAGAGCGCAAGTTGCCTCGATGCTGCAGGAGGGTTGAGGTGAGAGGATGGCAGGAGCGTGGCAGCAGCTGATGGATGGTAAGGAGAGAGGACTACACTCATCCACCTTTACACCGTTGAAGAGAAGAGAGATAGAGAAGAGCCCTTAATAAGAACCCACATGCGACTTTTTAAACCACTGCAAAAAAGCTGTTGCATTTCTGTTGTAAAATGCAAATGCACAGTACTTCTATTACAAATTAAAATGCACAACAGTTGTATGTTATATCTTACCTCTCTCCATGGTTAAGGTGGGCAAACAGATACATCACAACTGAACCAGCTTACAAAAGTGATGCAGAAGCTTCTTTGTAATCGCTCTGGACTAGATTAGCCCCCCAAACCATCTTCTCTCCGCACCATCCTCCTCCATCTCCCCTCTCTTTCTCCTCTGATTTTCCCCGCTACCAAAGTCCTCCCCCCTCAGCTCCTCGAGAAGGCACTGGTCT